ACTTTCTTTAGATTTTCTCTAATAATTATATTTCTGCTTCTGTTTTTGAACTTTTGAGTCCTGTTATTTACCAAACTTCACTCTTTTCATCTCACTAATTGATACTATGTTTGGAATATCATTTTTTACACATAAAGCATCTTCAGTTGTCAGACCTGCATATAGATGAAGGAGGGGAGGCTGGGAGCGGAAGTATTTTTATCTCTTTTCCAGCAGCGTGAATGACTTTGACAATGGCTCATTGTAGGGAATATGGCTCAGGTCAATGAATGAGTGAAGTTTCATTTTTGGCAGACACTCTCCGACATATGTTGTATTGAGTATCTGTGAACAGCAGGTCAACTGACCCAGACTGCTAGAGACACAGACTGGAACAAGCGAGTTACTATAGTTCACTCCTGAGTCGGGGCAGACTGGGGTAGGGCCCAAGCTGTTTAGCACACGGCTTCCACATTTAAACACAGACGACGAACTGATCATCAGGCACCCAGTGCCGAGGGGCCAGCACGCCTGGACTGTAAACACTCCTGGGCAGCTTTGCTGTCCTCGGGAATCTGAACCGAGAGGCGCAGGAGCTGTGGTCACGCCAGGGGTGAGAGCCGACGGTCCTGTACAGTTAGGCCAGCACACACGCCCGCTTGAGAGCAGCAGCAGGAGGCTGACAAGAAGTGAAGGCCGGGCATCCCTGGAGGCCAGTCTCTCTGGCCTGCATTAGTTTTCTGATTCCCACACAGCCTGACTTTCTGGCCCTGGATTCTCAGGAGTTTAAGTTAGTCTCTGTTCACCCCAGTCATCAGTGTCCTTGTCCTAGCCCTTGTGTCCCCTTTGGAGGTGAGTCCATTCCACTCCCTGTAAGGACTGTCATTGTAAGAAGAGGCAGGGGACACGGCACCTTATTCTGGTGACACCGAGCATCCACCAGGGTAGTTTTCAGCATCCTCTGCAGATGAGTGACTCAGGAACTTTCTCAGTCCTCTGTCCAGACAGTGCCCCTGAGCAGCTGCTGCAGTGCTGCTACGCTTTGTTTCCCTTGTACTAACTGTTGCTTTGGATTTTAGGAAGCATGAGGTCCATCTGGGAATTAATTCTAGTAGCTTGTCAAATAGTAGGGGATGGCTTAACAGTCACATTTATTCTAACCTACTTACCTTATACTATGTTTCCCTTTATTCTCCCCACCCTAGAAATATATTTATTCAAATGAATATATTTCTGAAAGCAATCTCAGACTCTTTGGAAATAAGCAAGATCAATAATTAAGGAACAATAAAGTTAACATTGAATAAATAATGAAATAATAAATACATTCTTTTTTAGAAGTTCCTATTATAGAGTGGCTGTCTGTTCCATTATTACCCTGTATGTGTAAAGTGCAAACATCTGTGATTAGTACTTCTAACTTTTCCTGACAAAATCAAGCACGATAGAGAATTACAGCCAGTGAGGAAAGACAGTTTAGGACTTAGAGAAAATTAAAATGACGAGATCCCCATGAAAGTGAACGAGAAAATGCAAGCCATTGCCCGTCAGGCTGGGCTGCTGAATCCACGCGCCTTCTCGCGAGACCGGAAGGTTAGGGCTGTTGGCTGTGAGTTCGCCCTCAGTCTCTGCTTAGGGTAAGGGGCACTGAGGGATTCCAGGCACTTTCGGCCTCCCGGCTTGCAGAAATGCTTCAAGAGAACCATACTCCGCTCCTTGGCTTTGCTGTTGCTGTTGTTGTTTCTTTCTCTTTTGTTTTTAGCAGTGTTTGGGGTTGAACCCAGGCCTTGCCCACACCTGCCAGGCAAGCGCTCTAGCACTGAGCTACATACATTTCTGCCCTTCACTGGGGTTTTTTAAGTTTTTGATATCACGTTAGGGATTATTCTGGTAAATACCTTCAGGAATGACAGGAAACTCCTTGACTTGCTTCCCGAGGCCTGTCCTGGTATTCAGCTGTATGCGTCTTAACATTTTTCTGCAGCAATTTCCTTTGAGCCCGTGTGAATGAACCAGGCTTAAGACCCCTGAATCAACAACCCGTCTACCAAAGCAGAGTATCTGACCTGATAATTATTTCAGTATAGGAAAAGTTGCAAGTGAATTGTTTCAATACTTCCATTTAGGCAAACTTAAATCTAGGGAATGTTAGACTTGCTCATTGGCCAAAATTCCCTCTCTTATCAAGCTGCTAGATGACAGACTCAGCACTGTTCTCAGAGCTCTATAAAATCCACCATGTGTTGGTTGTTTTGTTGTTGCTTATTTTTGTAGTGCGTTATCACCTTCATCTGAACGATGCAATTTTGGCGGAGGAGGAAGAATGTTAATGGTGTCAGAGAGGCCTGGAGGTGACCCAGAAAATCAGGGTCAAAGCCCAGCCCAGAACTTGGCCTCCGGGTTCTTAGTCTATAGGACTTTTGACTGTGATATGCATGTCTTTTACTTTGGTTTTCATGTTTTTACATGTAATTTGAGTGATTTTTTTCATTATAATAGTATAATCCTGTAAGATCATCATTAAATTTCTGGGCACTAAAGTTTTAAAATAAAAGATAATGATAAATTAAACTGTTACACCGTGGTAGCTTGTAGTTTTGAAAAAAGTATAAAGGCCTTAGAAATGAATATTTACCAAGTTTGCACTAGTCTAATGTACATCTCCATGATTTCGTTTGGCTTTCCTCAAGTTATGTACTCACAGGAATAGGGGCAACTTTGTAATCTCTTAGGATAGACTTGGCTCTGGAGAGGCAGGAGGGGTCAGGAGAGGATTAACAGATCAAAACAAAATAGGACTGATGATTCAATCAATAATTTCTAGAATTAACAAAGAAATAAAATTAACACCTTTAAAATACTAGAAATATAATAAGCTTTGCATAGATTGACAATCGATAATAAGTAGAGGTTGGTGTCTGTCTTGCCATAGGCATAGCGAGGTAATGTACCCAGGATCTCCTTGGTGAGCGAGCGAGGTCATCCTGCCCTGTACCACATTCACTCATGGAGAACTCCTTTGTTGGCCTGCTTCTCATTCCAATGCAAACTTAAAAAAAAAAATAGCATTGGAGTAGATTATTCCATTTGTAATACTTAAAGAGAAGGGCACTCATATTGTGATGCTTTCATAGATGTCTTTTATTTTCCAACAAACTTACTCTCCTAAGCTTCACACTTCAATGTTTTTGACTGCTCTACAGTGTAGAAACTTGTTCATTTTAGCTAACGACCAGTACCTGTTCAAATAGTGACTCCATTGTGCATAAAACTGGGAATTTTCAACAAACTACCAAGGTACCCGGGGAAGCACTTGCAGAGTGAGGGTCCACTTGCAGCCTAGATGCGGAATCATAAATTCATAGATAAGTGTGGTGGCAGTGACAGCTTTGGTGTGTATTTTGCTTACATGGTGGATCTCACAATGTGTTTCTTCTGTATGTGAATCCTTAAGAAGGGCAACAGTATTATTTACCTTAACAAAATTATCAAACGGGAAAGTTTGTCTTCTAGGACTTGAGAACCTCTGCAATCAAAATTCTGCTTTTTTCATCTCCAAATAAAGCAACTATTCTTCTCATCCCATCTCGAAACTTGTGTGCAGGCTCATTAGGTGAATTGTCAGATGGCTGAATATCACAACTTTTTACTCTTAGAAGAGATACTTTAATTTTAGAATATTGTTCATTTTAAACTAAGGATTTAAAGTTAATCCCATTCTATAACTTGGGGCACCAACAATTGCAAAATAGAAATGTAGACAAGTAATAAATATATTTGAAATAGAGAAGCAAAAGAAACTTATATTTGCTTCTTCAGAAACAGAACATGGAAGAGTGGGCAAAATGCTCTAAATCTATGATACTGCCTCTTGCTTACCTCAGTTTTAGCGTCCTGGTCAATAAGATGTCATATTCTCTATCAGATGCACTAGTCACTGACCTATGGAAAGGGAAGTAATCTTCTAATTTATAATTTGTAAGCGGCATCTTCAGGAATTCCTCAATATTCAGGATCTAACCTTAGAAGCTCGATACTACTTCAGTTCTAAAGGCTTTGGTATGTTGTTTTACCACACTTAAGTACTAAACTGCCGTATGCAATTAAATACCTTCAACAAGTAAATATACGCATATGAGAGGTTTGTGGAGTTTTGATGTCTTAAAATAAAGTCACATAGCTAAAACATACAATTCCCAATTCCTGAGTTAGATGTGAATGCATGTACATAAGCCAAAGTTACTATGGCAAAAAACAGACCCCTGCGTGTTTTATCAGTGACACTTGCAGTACAGATGTTTCATTAATACCTCATCTCACAACCTCAAGAGTTTGCAGCGTCATTCAGTTTGATTTTGGATGTGCATTTCAATACCAGTATCAAGAACATAATTTTTCTGAGCTGATGATCATTTCCAGTCAAATAGACAGGCTTTGGGAGTATTTAATGGAGATATGGCCTTATGTTTTACATAGAGAAGCTGTCAATTGGGTTTTCCACAAGCATTACCCATAAAAGATTAGCAAGGATAATTTTTTTTATGTTTAAAAACAATATTTACCTCACATATTCAGTTGGAGTTAAGCTTTTAAGTCCATGAGTTCACACAGTGTTTTGCTTTGTGTGCAGTACAATGTGTCGCCAGTCATACAGCACGGCAAGCCCCTGTGTCTGTGGCCCAGGCCCGCAGAGTCTATCAACGTGGATGGTAAATGTTAAAAACTGTGCTGAGCATGTGGAGCCTTTTTTGTGCCATTATTCCCTACCGGTAGGACATGACAACTATTCCTATGAGTGTATACATTGTGCTCAAACTGCCATTTTCTATAAGTGACTTGAGTATCCTTGGCGTTTGCGAGTGGGGGTGGCAGGAGCCAATTCCTGGTGGATACTGACAGAGGGCTCTGTATTTCTAGTCTTATTCAGTAACAGTGGGGTGACCACAGAAGCATGGGAACGCTGTTGCTGAGGCACCTGCTTTTTCCCATGTGTTTAGTATACCTATCCCTTTGCGTTTCAGAGCTCTTGGATCTGAACAGAACATCAGTATTTCGGAGCCCCCTTGGATCTCTTGATCTCCACTCGATGCTGCTGGATGAATACCAGGAACGGCTCTTCGTGGGGGGCAGGGACCTTCTGTACTCCCTCAGCCTGGAGCGAATCAGCGATGGCTACAGAGAGGTACTGACATCAATTGCACTGTTTCAGGAGGACTCGGGAATTGTGAGGATGTTGCTTGGCTTATTTTTCCATGGTGTCGATCACTTTAAAATTTTGAATGATTCCTTTACTGCGATAAAATGTTCATTAAAAAGGAGATCACTGTGGGAGAAGTTCATAAATCAGCCTGTATGACTCCCAGCATCCTGCTGCTCCCCGGATGCCCAGCGGCTCCTGCCTGGGGCTCCACATTCCTGCTGCTCTCTGGGCTTTGTCACCACACCCTGTCCTGGGCTCCATAGCTCCAGCGTCCGAGCTTAAGAAGATGTGGCACGGTTCTCAGTGCAGCTGCCCCGTGTAGTTCTGCTGGAGACATCACCGTTTCAGACGGGCGCTCCTTAGCCCGGCCGACTGGTGTGTGATGTTGTAACAACCAAGAGCCCAGAATCTCAGCAAGGTTTACTGTGGAAAGAACAAAGCATTTCTAAATACTGCCAGGTCAGATTGTGTAGACCTGTGTCTGTTTTACCCGGAAACATGAAGAAACATTTAAACACATTTTTGGCATTGATGCATGTATGATATAATCTGATTTCTGTGTAGGTGACTTTTATATTATATTCATTAAAATGGGCTCGGGCCATATTTCCTGAAGTCTTTGAAAACAAAACAGTTATGACAAAAAGCAGCAACTCTTGCTCCCTTCCAATTCCTACTCCCTAGAGGAACTAATCTTACAATTGTACAGCATCTTCCGATACTTCTGTGTAATATGCAGGCCTGGGGCCAAGGTGCAGCTCTGTGGCAGAGGATGAATTTAGTGTGCACACTACACTGAGCTCCATCTGACATGGGTGCTGCTGTTGATTGATATCTTTCCTCTTGGGCAATATCTGTTAGCTTCAGGGAGGGTGAGAATTTTAGCTTTGTTTTCCAATTCTAATATATGTGCTGCCGAAGCGAGCACTAGCTTTGTTTTCTTGCAGTAGCACAGTGCAATTATCTGTGCACCACATGTTAGCGAGTCCTTCCAAACACAGATATCCCAGTATTTTTGGTTACATAATAATTGTGCCTGATATTATTGTAATTAGGAAAATAATATTCTCTACCGAGCCACATCATGTAAGTTTATTGCATCTTTTCTTCCCTTCCCTCCTTCTGTCTCTCTCTTTCTGCAATTTTCTTGATTCTCCTCCCTTTTCCAACTTCTTGGATATTTATATTAGCTTCAGTAACTTTTGACCAGCTCGGCTTTTTACACGTCTTTCCATACAGTGCAGTGTCCTCCTGTCCTACTGGAGCAGAGCTTCCTTATCACCCCAGGCTCCCCCCGCGTTCCCCCTGCAGGGAGCCTGAGTTTCCAGGGTCCCCAGTTTTCTGGGTATAGTCTGGCGTTTTCCTGAAGTGTATCTTCTCTTAGATCTTGGAAGGAAGATCCAAAGTCAAACTTTGAGTTTTGTAAGTTTGCAAATTTTTATTCAGATTTCACACATAAATGGATAAATGGATATACTGTAAAATTCCAGGTCAAATAGCTTTGCCTCAGGATTTTGCTAAGTATTTCCCCATTGTTTCTATCTTCACTTTAGCTGTTGAGATACGATGCCATTCTGATTGCAAAGTTTTATAGGTAGCCTGTTTCCTGGGCCCTTACTCTTCACCCTGCGCATCTCGAATCTCCCATTAATCTGGGTGGTTTAGAGCTTTCTGGGGTTTCTTAGCATCAGACTTCTTCATACCTTGTGCCAGACACAAGGGCCCCCTGGTCTCAGCCCTGGAAAATGCTCATGATCTCGCTGACATTTTCCTTTCGACATTCTCCTCTTAACTCTTTCTGGGCTCACAGAAAGCGGACTCTCCCCCGCCGACTGGCTCCTCTGCACATTAAGTGTGCCTGGAGTGTTTCTCCAGATCTCACCAGGCACACGCTTCCCACTCTCGACCCCACACGCCCAGAGTTCTTTTCATGGAACAGCATGCTTGTTGGCTCATCTCACCTGGCAGGAAATCAGATTTCTCCTTTTTAGTGTGTCAACCCAGTCCGCACTTGTCCGTATGTTTTAGAATTCCTAAAATGTTGCTGATATGCCTTTGGCCTGTGTGCATCGTTCTTATTTGTCTTCTGGGGAATTATACCTTTTTAATCCTCTTACTGTCATATTATTGGTTGCAGGATACAGAGTCAAAACAAATCTTGTATTTCACCCTGTCTTCCCTTTCTTTCTAACCCATTAATTTTATTTTGACAATGATTCTCTTCTGACTTCAAACACAAACATACCAATTGCTCTCTCTCTGTGCACTGGTGCATGCACACATGGCCTTCAGTCAGATTCAGTGGGTGATTCTGCCACCCTTTGGATGGATTCTTTCTCATTTCAGCCCTTACTGACTCTCTCTCTCTCTCCCTCTCCCTCTGTCTCTTCCTCCCCCCCCCCATATAGTCTGAAACTGTTAGTGTGTGAAAGGGATCTGTCATCCCAAAAGAGGAAGAATCTTTATCTTAAGGAAATGGCTCTTCCCCTGCCACCCTTGGGCTGGGATCACGGGAATCTCCTGGAGTCCACATTCAGAGCCAGCCTCTTGGGTGACCTCATGTGCACAAGGTCTCCTCACCACTACCCTGAGCTGCTTCCTGGATGTGCAGCGCGGCCCACAGACAGCTGCTTCCAGCTCTGATGAGACCCCCTTCAGAATGGGGGATGTGGAATCACTTACTTAGTCTCACTTATTGCTTTGGCCTAGTCGTACAAAAGCCAAAAGGCAGCTTTCGTGGAGGAGGAAGTGGCCTGTGAAACTCTCAGAGTAGGAGGGATGGAGCTTGAGGAGATGATGCGAGCAGCTCCTCTGGGAATAAGCAGCCTGGTGAGGGAGGGGCCGTAGGGCTTCAGGGTGCAGCTGGTAGGGACCCCAAGGAAAGCACAGTAAAAGCCATTATACCAACGACCTTTCCGCACCCAGGGGATCCTCATCTTGTACAGCCCGTGGCTCACACAGTTGGGGGATTTTCCAGTCAAACTTACAAATGCCAGCATGGCCCAGGCCCACATCAGGGCCCAGGGAAACTTCGCCCTGCTGCATTTCCCGCTCTGTGCCTGTCTCCGAGTGAAAGCAGTGCACCCCATGAAGCAGAGTGGCCCGCTGTCTGCTCCCCATTCCGGCAGGGCTGCAGCGACGCCCACTGCACAGGGCCTGCGCTTCAGGGCGGGGGCTGAGGTCTCCAGCTGCACCAATGCGCTGTGTCCCTCGCCCAGCTCCTGGCCCTCGTGTCTGGGCCTCGCTGTCCTTCCGTAGCACTGGGCGGTGGTTCCAGTCCCCACCTCTCTTGCCTGTGTTCTCTGTCCCCCTGTTGCTCACCGGCCTGGGGACAGTGACTGTGACATTTCCTCTCAGTCAGGGTCCCCAAGCTTCGGGACATTTGGCTGCATCCCTACCCTTACACAAAGCGACCCCGGAACTGTGTCAGTCCTCCTCACATTGTGATGGATCCAAAATGTCTACACACTGTGGGATGTGCCCTGAGAGAGCATCCCCCTGAATCAGTCCAGACTGAGCCCACCTAACTGCAGGCAGGATCCAGGCCTTCTGCTGAACACGCACACACACGCGCGGGCACACACACACACACACACACACACACACTCCCTTCTCCTCAAATCAAGCATCTGGAAAATCAGGCTCCATTTTCTTCATTTCTTAAAAACTGTTTATTTCTTAGTTTTGATATCTTTTAAAATTTGGTGCATAAATGGATATATGTAGCATAAATATGTTGGAAGATACAATGATAAAACAAAAACCTGCAAACCCACCACCCAACCCAACAAAGAGAACATCACCTCAGTCCCTCCCTGGCCCCCAGTCCACCTGCTCTCAGAAGTGCTTACTGCCCTAGACTCTTCATCCTTCCTTTGTGTTTATTCTTCACAATTATTGAATCACATATGAAACTTTTCTTTATATTAATTAGTGTAGGTATTTTTGAGCTATGTAAAAATGATAGATGGTAGTACACTGCAATCTGTGGGATTGCTTTTTCTGTTTTCTGCTTTTTGTTTTATTCAAGATTATTTTTAGATTCAATTGTGTTACTTGTACCTAGAGGTTATTTGCTGTTAACGATAGAACAGTAAAGTCACAGCAGCATGGCTCTGGCTCTGAGGCTCAAATCCTGGCTCTGTATGTGTAACAGTGGGAAAATTCCTTAACCTCTCTGAGTATAAAATTTAGTTAATTTTTGTAAAGGACCCACTAGAGTGATTGACATGCAATACGAACTAAGTACAAGCTCTTATTATTGACTTGGACTTCCGGTTAGTATCTTTCATCACAAACACAGCATGATTCATCCAACTCTTAGGGAGATAAGAGAGGGAATGGCAGGGAAGGCAGGGGATGAGGAAAGGCCTCTCTGGGTTCGCAGTGCTGGAGGGCAGAGACGGCCGCACAAAAGGGCAGCGGACGTGCAGCACTGTGGGCTCAGTAGCCAGCTGCGGTGAGCGGCCACAGGCCAGGCGCAGGGAGAGAACCACCCGCAGAGGTGCGGCCGCCTCTGGCCGAGGATCCAGGCCACAGAAGAGCGACGGCCGGCCCGGCGCTGATCGGCAGGTGGTGTGAGCGAGTCAGCCGTGTGAGGAGAGGATCGTAACACAAGGAATCCTCCGTCCCAGAGCGGGGAGACAGGATGACAGCCCAGACCGTGCAGGAGGAGACAGGGCTGTGTTTACAGGCACCCGAGCCTCAAAGTAGTTACGGTTTCGTTTTTATTACTGTATTTTTGTTTTATTGGATAGGTGGATCTGGAAAGGAAGAAAATCCATCTCAGAGAGGCAGAAGAGTCAAGTAAAACATTCTTCTCACATGGGGGCTAAGAGTGGGCAGAAAGCCACCACCAGGGGAGCCGGCTGTCCCAGGGGCCATCTGGTTTTAATCAGAGCAGGAGGCTGAGGAACAAAGGGAGCCACCCCAGACAGCAGGGGGCTCGCGGGAGGGGTCCCCGGATTTGACAGGGAGCGAGG